CCCCCCCACCTGTGCTTTCAGAGGGACGACTGTCTTATCGCTGTGAAAATTAATCACATGAAATGGCCTTAATTAAACGGCGAGATGGTCAACATCGGTATAAATTAATATCGTTCACTTTCCGAACTTCGCAGGCGTTGAAACATCCCCACGCGTCCCCGGCTTGGGCCATGGTTCCAGGTCCTCGCCGGCTCCGGTGCTGACCCTGTTAAAGGCACCCTAACCCGTTTCCCAGGTTCTGTAAGCGCCCCGGCTCCCAGGGAGCCGGGGGAGTACGTTAACGTAACTCCAGGAGACGCACAGTTAATGAAACTTTGTCCCCCGTCATGTTTAAGCCCCTCGTCACCTCAGGAATCAGTGTGTTTCTGCTGGTCTTGGTCACACTCACCAGGGGAAATCAGGAGCCGTCTCCTCTTGTTCTCCCGTCCCCGATCTAATCTGTTTTCAAATCCGATTGCTCATCTCTGGGAACATTCGCCTCTCTCCCTCTGCTCCCTGTGCACCTGGGAACCCCTCAGGCCGGGGGACCCTTCAGGCCAGGCCACCCGTCCCCCCCTCCCCTCGCTGGCCTGACGGTGCCTTGGCCGGCGTGTCCTGTGCGCCCTGTAGGCCTGGAACCGACTTGTCTCAGGCACACGGCGTTACTGGGAGCCAGGCCCCAGGGTGGGGGGGTCCCCGATTTACTTAGCGGGGCTCCTCCTCCTCTGTTTAAGGACACCCATGGAGTGTGGGTTATTCCCACTTATTCAAGGCCTTCCTTCTGTCTACCTAAAACGAGTAGTAGAGTGATGACACTGTGTGATAGACTGAGGAAGGTCCTTGCTCAGTTAGCAAAAGATACCGTCTCCCATTCTGGTGTAACAGGAAAATGGTGATTTTGGTTCTCCAGTGGATAGTCTTAGAGGATGGCTGTCCACAAGGGGCGCTGTCCACGGAGGGTGGTTGTCCAGAGAAGCCCTCTCACAGCCTGTGTACGGGACCCCCTTGGCGGTGCTCGTATCCCGCAGCCCTGCGCCAGGTGCGGTTGAACCAGGAGGCCACGGCTCCCGGCTGTCACGCTCTGTGCTGTGATGGCGTCCCTTGTCGGGTGGACCTGCTGCAGAGACGCTGGGTGAACCGTGACGAGCCCGGGCTTGGCAGCTGCAGAGGCTGTTGGCAGTCACACCGGGCTGTTCACAGATGGCAGAGTTTTGACCTTTGCAAGGATCTTACAATCTGAACATGGGGACAAATGATACAAAAGCAAGTGCTGTTGAGCCCTTGGTCACCAGATGGTGAAAAGCAGGAGAGGGTTGGAAAGTCCTGCGGGTGGGACCCTGGGGCCTCCCCCTGCGGTCAGTCCCATCGCTGGACTCAGCTCACCCCCATCTTTGTTCTGAGGTCACTGATCTCCGATGTTTGTCTCGGCCTCTACTGGCTGGAACTATCCCTGAAGTGAGCAGCGTCGTAGGTGGCGCCCGGCCCAGGTGGGCATGAGAGCAGAGCCCGGGCTCAGAGCCCACCCCACGGCCGTGTCTCCGCAGTTCCTCCAGTACCCCCCCCCCACCTGTGCTTTCAGAGGGACGACTGTCTTATCGCTGTGAAAATTAATCACATGAAATGGCCTTAATTAAACGGCGAGATGGTCAACATCGGTATAAATTAATATCGTTCACTTTCCGAACTTCGCAGGCGTTGAAACATCCCCACGCGTCCCCGGCTTGGGCCATGGTTCCAGGTCCTCGCCGGCTCCGGTGCTGACCCTGTTAAAGGCACCCTAACCCGTTTCCCAGGTTCTGTAAGCGCCCCGGCTCCCAGGGAGCCGGGGGAGTACGTTAACGTAACTCCAGGAGACGCACAGTTAATGAAACTTTGTCCCCCATCATGTTTAAGCCCCTCGTCACCTCAGGAATCAGTGCGTTTCTGCTGGTCTTGGTCACACTCACCAGGGGAAATCAGGAGCCGTCTCCTCTTGTTCTCCCGTCCCCGATCTAATCTGTTTTCAAATCCGATTGCTCATCCCTGGGAACGTTCGCCTCTCTCCCTCTGCTCCCTGTGCACCTGGGGACCCCTCAGGCTGGGGGACCCTTCAGGCCAGGCCACCCGTCCACCCCTCCCCTCACCAGCGTGTCCTGTGCGCCCTGTAGGCCTGGAACCGTCTTGTCTCAGGCACACGGCGTTACTGGGAGCCAGGCCCCAGGGTGGGGGGGTCCCCGATTTACTTAGCGGGGCTCCTCCTCCTCTGTTTAAGGACACCCATGGAGTGTGGGTTATTCCCACTTATTCAAGGCCTTCCTTCTGTCTACCTAAAACGAGTAGTAGAGTGATGACACTGTGTGATAGACTGAGGAAGGTCCTTGCTCAGTTAGCAAAAGATACCGTCTCCCATTCTGGTATAACAGGAAAATGGTGATTTTGGTTCTTCAGTGGATAGTCTTAAGGAGAGGATGGCTGTCCACGGAGGGTGGCTGTCCAGAGAAGCCCTCTCGCAGCCCGTGTACGGGTCCCTCTGCGCGGTGCTCGTATCCCGCAGCCCTGCGCCACATGCGGGTGAACCAGGAGGCCACGGCTCCCGGCTGCCACGCTCTGAGCTGTGATGGCGTCCCTTGTCGGGTGGACCTGCTGCAGAGACGCTGGGTGAGCCGTGACGAGCCCGGGCTTGGCAGCTGCAGAGGCTGTTGGCAGTCACACCGGGCTGTTCACAGATGGCAGAGTTTTGACCTTTGCAAGGATCTTACAATCTGAACATGGGGACAAATGATACAAAAGCAAGTGCTGTTGAGCCCTTGGTCACCAGATGGTGAAAAGCAGGAGAGGGTTGGAAAGTCCTGCGGGTGGGACCCTGGGGCCTCCCCCTGCGGTCAGTCCCATCGCTGGACTCAGCTCACCCCCATCTTTGTTCTGAGGTCACTGATCTCCGATGTTTGTCTCGGCCTCTACTGGCTGGAACTATCCCTGAAGTGAGCAGCGTCGTAGGTGGCGCTGGACCAGGTGGGCATGAGAGCAGAGCCCGGGCTCAGAGCCCACCCCACGGCTGTGTCTCCGCAGTTCCTCCAGGACACCCTGGACGCGCTGTTCAACATCATGATGGAGAACTCGGAGAGCGAGACCTTCGACACGCTCGTGTTTGATGCTCTGGTAAGAGGCCCTTCCTGTCCTCCACTCAGACGTTAGAGGCACATCTGTAGGGGATCCATCGCGGTGACCTCGAAAGCGTTGCCCTATACATCCAATCCACACAATCAGGGAGAGCTAGGAGGTCTCCTTCAGTAACTCCGGTTGGGCAAATGCCGTTTCTAGGGCAGGAGGAGGTCAGCTGGCTGACCAACTTCTGTCCGAAACATCTTGGAGTTCATTGGGTCCCAGGATGCAAGGATTCAGGTGAAGATGCCCGCGGGTTGGCGTCATCTTACTAACGACACGGCCGATTCCCTCCCAGGTGTTCATCATCGGACTCATTGCCGATAGGAAGTTCCAGCACTTCAACCCCGTGCTGGAAACCTACATTAAGAAGCACTTCAGTGCGACGCTAGCCTACACGTAAGTTCTCTGGGTTGTTTAAAACCAGAACGCTTTTTGCATGTGCTTCTTGTTAAGGGTCTTCTTCATGTCCTTTTTATCTACGACTGTACGGTCCCCTCCTTACAACTCTGAATTTGCTGGGGGAGTTTTTATTAGTATTTCCCTCTTCAGAGAGCTAAAAGTCTTACCAGCGGAGTTACGTAGTACATCCTGGTCATTCTGGAACACATTCTTTCTCTTCTCCCCCATCTTCTACTTACCTGATGTTTTCAGTTCATGTTCGATGACCCTGAGAGACGAGGACAGGGTCTGCCCCCGTGCGGCTTCCCCACCAGCTTGGATGAATGAATAAATGCGTGTGTTCTTGTTGGAGAGCATTGCTTGCTTCGTGGGAATAAAAGTCAGTGTGGTGCTTTTCAGTATAGCTTTTGCTCTTTAAAGGATGCGTTCCCTTTTGTTGCGAAGCTTCAGCTGTGACTCACTTGGATTCTTAGTGCCCACCCAACTGCTCTTGACCGGCCCCCACACCCCCATAGGTGCCCCTGTGGGTCTCACACACACCGGAGCGGGGGCAGTGGGGGGGGGAGGCCGGGCCCCAGACGCTGCTCACCTGGTGTCCAGTGGCGCAGTCCTGGAGCCCAGCCGCCTGGGCTTCGTGGAAGCTCTCAGGTGCTTCACCCCTCTGGGTTTCAGTCTTCTCATCTGTAAAATGGGCAGGATTGTAGGTGTGTGAGGTTTCATTATTATTAGCATTCTATGACGAGTTAGTTACATTCTATCTCTCATAGTGGGGGTCATGGACATTTATTCAAAATTTTAATTGTGCAAGTTGCAGTGAGAAAAGAGATTTAAATAATTTCTTTTTAAAATGCATTTACAACATTATAGTTGACAGACAAGGTTATATTAGTTTCAGGTGTACAGCATAGTGGTTTGACATACTTTCGTTCACAACATCCCCTGGAGGGGGATTGTCTTTGGTGCCATTAAGTTGGTCAAAGCTCCCATCTGTGCCTGGACCGGACTTAGGTCAAAGCCCGCGTCCTTGCCTGGGTACAGCCCTGCACTCAAGGTCAGAGGTCTGACGCCGCAGTCCTGGCCCTGGATTCTGTCGTGTATGCCTTGATGCCTGTGGCGTGGGCGGTGTCTCGAGTGGGCAGCGCTGCCCTGCCGAGCACCCGGAGCCAGCTTGGGTGAGCCCTGCGCTCACTTGCTAACACACGTGTGCTTACAACACGTGTGCTTAAACACGTGTGTTTACAACACATGGTCTGTCGGTGGAGAGGCCCTTTGCCTGCACTTTGGACAGTTCCTTACCGCCCCTCCCCCTCGCTGTGGCAACGCAAACACAACCACAAACAACCGGGCGGGTGTAGGGAAGTGGCCTGAATGTGACGTGACCTTCTCGTGCGTCACTTTGGCAGTTCTGCTTTTTTATTGAAATGTGGCCACACAGCTCTTCTCAGATTAGATTTGGAACTTCATTTCTGGTTTTGGAACCACGTGCTCCGTGCCCCGCTGCACTGGGATCCGAGTGTTGGCTCGGCCCGTCCTTGGGGGAAGGAGGGGCCTCGGGAGAGTGGGCCTGGTGGCCAGTGAGTCAGTGGGAGGAGCAGAAAGTACCATTTTATCTTCCAGCGATGATGCACTCCACTGCGAATCAGCGCCCTCTCGTTCAGTGGTCGCCAACCTTTCGGACCTTACGGACCGCAGGTCGGCGACCGCTGCTCTAGTTCAGTCTCTGTAATCGGCCGAAAAGGAAATTTTCACTTTGTGGAAAAGGAATATTCGTCTCATGTTTTGAGAACCTACACCACCAGTGTTTGTTTGGTTTTTAATTAACTTTCTCATATACTCCTTTACTTGGAGCAAATTTACTACCATTTGAACTTTCTGGTTTCTGAATTCCAGAAAAATAGAAAAGTTTTGATGCTCTTTGTTTTACTTGTAACAGGGATTGTTTTAAAAAACTACCTTTGGTTTAAGCACTTAATCTAACGTATGAAGCTATGAATTAAAATCAGACTTTCGATATGGACTTTATTTGTACCAACTGTCCATAATTACTTATGTCATGGTATGGAAAAATTTAAGAATAATTCTGACCAATTTTGGTAGATTATAAACTTTGTAAACTTCTATTATCATGACAAAAGGTTTTCATGTTTTCATGTTAGGGAGTCACTTGTTTTTGGTTGACAATTTATAAAGATATCGATTCTCTAAGAGAAGTAGAGTCCTTATACTTTTAAAACTAAATGTATGCAATTCTATTAGAAAATGTAAAAGAAAATTCACAAAACCTTTCATGTAATACCCATGTTCTCATAAAATGTTTATAGTCTTTTATATAAAGCCTCTTAGAAAACTCATCAAAAATTAAGAATATTTGCTATTTGAAAAATGGGTTGTAAAATTCTCATTTTGAGTGTAAATAGCCTAGTTTTAGAAAACGAACTAGAGGTTGCTGAAATGGCCCCCAATAACAAATACTATTTCGTGCAATGCCTTCTTAAAATTTTGGTAAAACCCACATAACACAGAATGTACCATTTGAAACCGTTTTCAAGTGTACAGGTCCATATACAGTTTTAGCACTTAGTGAATCCAATGTTGTGCGAGCATTATCTCGTTCCAGATCATCTTCATTTTAATGTCCTTTTGCAGAGATTTTCTTTGGTGCCTCACTTGGGCTAGAAAGAAAGTCCTTTGATGTTTTTATTTCACGTCGGGGAAGCTAGTTTGCCCATCCACACCTGGGCGTCTTCCCTTGCCAATCAGCGGTAATACCCACTACTTGCCTTATAGAGATGTTGTGAGGATTAAATCACATAATACATTCCAGTGCTCAGGGCAACATCTCAAACGTAGGAAGCACTCCGATCGCACTCTTCTGAGAGCTGCTTTCGGGGTCCCTTTCCATCCGTTTAGAACGCATTTTACAAATGTGCATATGTCGGGAGGTGTGAACCCAGATAAAACTCGCCCCCGGGGGTATCTCTCTGTGCCAGGGCCGCGCCGCGGTGCTGTGATTTGGGGAACTTATTAATTTGTGTTTCCATCGTGAATAGGAAGCTGACGAAAGTGTTGCGGAACTACGTGGACAACGCCGAGAAGCCGGGAGTCAACGAGCAGCTGTACAAAGCGATGAAGGCCCTGGAGTACATCTTCAAGTTCATCGTGTCCCGCGTGCTCTTCAACCAGTAGGTGTCGCCGGGCAGATGGGCGGGCTCTGCTGGGGCTCCTGGGTTTCCCTCTCCTGTCCCCCCTCTTTCCCTTTTCCTTCCTCTTCCTCTCCCCTTTCCTCCTTTCCTTGGGGCTAGGATGGCAGAGCAGTGACAGGGCCCTCCCTTGCTTGGCTGAGCACGGGGTTACCTGGGGAGAAAACAGCGGGGCTCGAGGCAGGAACGCGGAGGTCATTTTTGCCTTCTTTCGTGAAGGGTCTGCTGTATTTTCATGGAACGCAGCAGCTTCGCAAAATTCCCGGCTACTTGGCAGTAACTATTCTGCTAGAGATCAAGAGGGGGCACCTTGGCCATGAAGATACTGAACTTATCGTGGTCATGCCGCTCTCTCCCTCGGATGGGCATCCTTCCAGGCTGTTGTTTTCAGAAAGCTCGTTTTGTGTAGAAATGAGAACAGCGGCTTTAAATCTCTGGCCAGGAGACACTGGGTTCCCCGGGGAACCCACAGAAAGATTGCTGACAGCAGGGGCACTTGTGGGGTTTCTGTTTGTCTGTGTTGTCTGCGTGGGCGGGCGCATCCCATGAACCGGAAAACCGGCAGACAGACGCCTCCTGGTCAGGCCCCGGGTCATGCTCCTGAAGGGGTCCTGGCGGGCTCCCCGCCGGCGTCCCGCGCTGTGGGGTTTCGACCTGTCCCCTGGCGTTAGCTCTGTGCATAACTAGTTACTGGTCAGGGATAAGTTGCCCCAGATTTGTCATGTTGCCGTCATTTCCTGGGTAACGAAAGTCAGATGCAGGTTGTAGACAAAGATCTCGTCGTTCCTTGTGAATGAATCCCTACAACATTACGTGGAGTGAGGAATGAGGACTGGGTTTTATTCATCGACTTATGTCCAGACCGCCTCTGGCTCCCCCTCCCTCCTTCCACCTCCAGGCGGGTCAAACAGGGGACCTTTTGGTTTGTCCGGTGAGACCGAGAGGGGAGAGCGGAAACCCCCGCTCATCCCAGGAAGCTGCTTCCGGCAGGTTCTGTACCTCGTCCTTGTGTGTGGAGGACATTCCCATTCCTATGAGGTCTCGGCGGGCAGCTGTCTTCTTCCCCCGGATGTTCTTCTGCCCTCTCTCAGTTTCCATCATTTTAGATATTACATTTCTTAGGTTTATAAGTTTGATTTTTTTTTCTCTCCTAAAATTTTCCACCTAAGCTTCTCTTCTCTCCCTCTCTCTATTTTCCATGTTTCCATCTTCCTATTTGTTTACCCTTTGCTCTTTATTTTAAAATATACTCATTATATTTACTTGACTTTCTGGTTGGCTAACTACAGTATCTTGATCACCTGTGGATGTTGCCATTGGCTTTCTTCCCTCCTTGAGTGGCTGTGGGTCTGTGCGTAGTCATTTTTGTTTGAATGCAGGACAGTGGATGTCAGCGTGTAAAAGTGCCAGGTGACTCCACCTCCTTTCAGAGTGACCCCTCCTTCCCCTCCAGGCAGAGCAGAGGGCTGAGCCCTTGCTGGACAGGCTGTGCCGAGTCTCGCCTGCGGGTGGCCTCGCTGAGCCTCGGTCCACAGTAGTGGCCCCTCATCCTCCCGGGTTTTCAGCATAGAGCAGTGATGGTGAACCTTTTGAGCTCAGCCTGTCAGCATTTTGAAAAACCCTAACTTAACTCTGGTGCCGTGTCACATATAGAAATTTTTTTATATTTGTAATCATAGTAAAACAAAGACTTATATTTTTGATATTTATTTTATATGTTTAAATGCCATTTAACAAAGAAAAATCAAAAAATGAGTTCGTGTGTCACCTCTGACACGTGTGTCATAGGTTCGCTATCACTGGCATAGAGCCAGCTGTGTCCTCTGGGGCCGTCTCCCCGGCGTTTCCAGCACTCTCTTTCTTATCTCTGGAGACTGACAAAAACTCCACTCCGATTTACAGAGGTTTTTACTTTTGCTTTTAGTCTCCTGACCCATAAAGTCACAGGAATTGGCAGGTAACCCGAAGGGTGCAGACCGACTCACCAGCGTTTCTATCAGCCCCCAAGCACCTTTCTTTCCCTGTCACCTGCAAGCAGACGCTCATGACTCCATGATTTTTTAAAAAAAATATTATGTATTTTTATTGATTTCAGAGAGGAAGGAAGAGGGAGGGAGAGATAGAAACATCAGTGATGAGAGAGGATCATTGATCGGCTGCCTCCTGCACGCCCCACACTGGGGATCAAGCCTGCAATCCGGCATGTGCCCTGACCTGGAATCAAACCATGACCTCCTGGTTCATAGGCTGACGTTCAACCACTGAGCTCGCCGGCCTGGCATGACTCCGGGATTTTAATTGCTCGGTGCGCCATTGAAACCAACGCCTGCTTGAAAACCCTTTACAGACAGACGAGGTCACAGTTCCCCATTTTAGACAGTTTCTTACTTTACAGAGGGACTCATTTAAATATAAGATAAATACCTCCAGGGTAATTAATTATCAGTTTACAGAGGTTTGCCTTGTACACGAGTCTTCAGGTAAGAGGTGCTTTTAATTAGGCAGGAGACTCGTCTCTGTTAATAAAGCATCTGAGTTGCAGTATTTTAAAATGCAAATGCATTGCTTCTTCATGACACAGCAACTTGAAGTAACGGCTAATAACTAATTTATAGATGAAACTTACTCACAGTTAGCACCTTATATTTGCATACATGAAACCCATGCGTAACTTACTCATTATCTATACATTTCCTGACTATGCTCCACCACTTGCAAGTTTTCCCATCAGCACCAATTCTGTGAAGAATGAATTTGTCTAGTATCATTTCTTTAAAATAAAGTGATTTCAAGTTTACTGTTATGGTATCATTTTCAAGTGGTTATAAGGTTATGTTAAATTTAGGCAATGTAGTGTCTTTGTGACTCAATTATGTAGTATTAAAAGTTTAAAACAACTGGCAGGCCCTAGCTGGTGTTGTTCAATGGGTAGAGCATTGGCCTGAGGCCTGAAGGGTACCGGGTTCAATTCTAGTCAAGGGCACATGCTGGGGTTGTGGGCTTGATCCCCAGTAGGGGGCGTGCAGGAGGCGGCCGATCAATGATTCTCTCTCATCATTGATGTTTTTATCTCTCTCTCTCTCTCCCTTTCTTTTCCTAAAATCAATAAAAATATTTAAAAATAAAATAAAACCACTGGCAGGAAATACACCCAAATATTAATGCTGTAACTTCTGTGGGATAGAATTAAAGCTGAAGTTCTCCATCCTCCCTTCCTCTCACCCTTTCTCTCTCTTTACCTCCTTCCCCCCTTTCCAGACGTTTCTGTGTTTTTCAGGTTTACACACTGGGTCATGTGACAGTGAGGAAAACAATACATAGTGGGGTTGAAAACCAGCTTCTTGGAGGCGCAGGCGTCTCCGTGGCCGGTGGTGCAGCGCAATCTCATTTCCCAGCGCCTCCTGGCTCGAGGATGTCCCGAGATCACTCACACTCTAACGGCCGCCCGAACAGCACCTTGGTGGCCGGAGACGCAGGCACCCTTGGGGTGAGGCGCCGAGGCCCCACAGAGCGTCTGTTCCGTTGCAGGCTCTACGAGAACAAGGGCGAGGCCGACTTCATGGAGTCCCTCCTGCAGCTGTTCCGGTCCATCAGCGCCATGATGAGCAGCATGTCGGACCAGACCCTCAGGGTGAAGGTAGGCCCTCGCTCGCCGCCACGGCCACGCTCAAGGCCAGCCCCCGGCTGCAGGGCTCCTGGGCCGCTGGGAGGAGCGGCTGCTCATCCTGCCATGCTTGGACTTGGGCAGGAGGCCCGGGCTGGCTTCTGTGGTGCACATGACCCTGCCCCCTGCGTGAGGGGTGGCGCTATCTTCTGTGGGGCCTCTAAATGCTGACTCTGCTGTGTCTGCTCCCAGGCGGGAGGTTTTGCACTCTCTCTCTGTAAATACTAGAGGCCCGCTGCACGAAAATTCATGCAAGGATAGGCCTTCCTTCCCCCGGCTGCTGCACGAAAATTCATGCAAGGATAGGCCTTCCTTCCCCCGGCTGCCAGCACTGGTTTCCCTCTGGCACCTGAGATTTGGGCTTTGCTCTGGCCACCGCCGGCAGGTGCCCGGGACCTGGGTCGCTCCGGCCACGGCTTCATCCGGAAGGATGTCCGGAATGACGCCCAGAAGGACGTTTGGTCTAATTAGCATATTACCCTTTTATTATTTGTAAATATGGGGTCTTCGATGAGAATAAGGGGCCAGGTGCCTCAGTCTCTGTGCGAGGTGGGGCTGTCGGTGCCCAGGCATCAGTCAGACCTCAGGCCACGCCCAGCCAACGGTGTCCTGTCTTCAGCCGTGAATGCACCTTTCGCCTGCGCAGGAGATAGAGGGATCCGGGTCCCCATGTTCCCGCTGTTCTCGCCACCCGTGGTGACCTGTTGTCATCCTCTGGCCCTTGGAGGAAAGATGCCTTCATCTCCAGGGGCTCTGAGTGCTCCTAGGGCCGCCTGGTGTGGAGGTGCCAGGAGGCCCCCAGGGCAGCCCCTGGCCCTGCACGCTCTCGGGCACCCTGTTCTGGAGATTTCTGTGGCGCTGGCTCACTGCAGACGGAGCTGAGCGGTTTATTGCCCGTGAAGTGGGCGCTTTGCCGTCCGAGCAGTTAGCAATTTGCTGCCCGTGAAGTGGGTGATTTGCTGCCCGAGCAGTGAGCGGTTTGCCACCCGTGAAGTGAGCAGTTTGCTGCCCGTGAAGTGGGTGATTTGCTGCCCGTGAAGTGAGCGGTTTGCCGCCCGTGCTAATTCCTTCAAAGCGGAGGAATCTCCCACGTGATTCCTGGTGGCTTTCCCTCGGCTGCTCCCAGTCCCTGCCTCTGTGCTCACCTTCCCTGTTAGTGTCCTGTTAATGGGTGATTTCCGAATGCATCTCTGTGTCTTTAAAATGTTGTGGGAAAGGGACTTGCCAGCTCTAACCATTCGTGGGGAACAGACGCTCAGATGTGCCTCAGGGCTGCTGTGACCGGAGCCGGGGTCACAGACAGGAATGAAGTCCCCGGAGCCTCTCGCCTCCGAGGCGGCCGCTGTAGGCAGGCTGCTCCTCTCTCAGTGCGACGCCCCATCTTCACGGGGCGTGTGGTGGACGGACGCCTGTGGACGGGGCTGGGGAGCGGGGCCTGTGGCAGGGGTGGGGCCGCCTGCTCCTGCCTGCGCCGCCGCCTCGTCCCAAGGATTAGATGAGCTGACCCCGAACCCTGTGGCCGTTCAGGGAAACGGGAGGGGAGCGGAAGAATAGATAGAAACCACGGGGAGTTTGGGCCTGTGATTTTAGATTTCTGAATCTGTTCTCATGTTATGGCATTTGATGGGGCTTGGCTCGTGTCTGCTCCTTTCCCCGCGTGTCAGCCCCGTCCTGAGCGGTTCAGTGGAAGACACGGGTGACTGCCGTGGCGTCGGCGCCGTGATGGGAACCTTCTGTCTGCAGCACGGGTGGCTGAGTTCTACTTGGAACGCTGCCTGCTTGCTGCTCTTTCTGCATTTTGTTCTTTCACAATCGGGGTGGTCTCGACACCTGACGTGAAGGTTCCCATCGTGGGTCCTGGCGTTTTGTGTTGTGTGAACTCTCAGTTTTGCTCTGTGGAAATGGAGAGACAGCTGTGACTCATCCTGCTCAGAGAGAACGTGCAAAGCCTGGCATGGCTTCGGGTTAGACGTGGCTCCCAGGGGTGGCCCTTGTTGGCTGTTTTGATGTTTGAGATGATCTGACCCCCACCCCTCCTCATTTGCAACTCTGAGGTCAGCATGCTCTCGAACCTTCTCGGCTTTATTTGGGGTGACCTTCGGTTTGCTTCGCCAGCACGGCCATGGGTGAGCCTGAGCGGGAGGGGGCCGGTGAAGGATTAAAGAAGAAAGACAAGAGAAGAAAGCTGGGGCTGGGTGGGACGCTGCCCTCTCTGATGGAGAGACAGCGCCACGGCCTGCAAGCCAAGTCTTTATTTTATAGCAGATTCTGCAAGGCAAAGTAAGGGCGTGGTCAAGATGTTTACAATGTTCTCGCTGTTTCGAATCTACTCAATTATATGCACCTGATCAAGCTTTGTTTACTTGCTGCCCCTCCCGCAGCCCACATCACTCAGCCACGTGGGACCACAGGTTCGGACCATAAGGTCAAGCTCACAGCCATAGCCTTTGGCTGTAACTGTGCTGGGACTTGCACGTGGATCGTGCCCTCTCATTAGTACCAGGCTTAAACCTGTCCGAACGCTGTAGCCGCTCTCCACATTCAGGGTTGGGGGGTGGAGAGCTGCTGTGTCCCAGGGAGCCCAAACCCTGCAGTCGCCTTATCAGAACTGAAGCCACCTCACATCCTCCGGCAGGTGTGAGCCGTCGGCCGTGTTTTATGTCTCGACGAAGGGCAAGGCAAGAGGAGTTTCAGCTAATATTTAACTTCAGCATTAACGTGGCATCAGACTGGAGTGTCCGTTCGTAAGGCATTGACAAAACTTCGACTGCTTCCCCCCAAATTGGGTGTGTCCTGCGGGGAGTAAGGGGTGAGATGGGGCCGGCCATGAAGGCCTTGGGGGCCGAGGTTGCGGGCACAACCACTGTTGGCAGCGGGGGCTGCCCTGGACCACTGAGCTCTGGCCGAGGTGGGTTTGGGGCATTGGGGGCCTCGCGGTCAGAACTGTCCCAGGCAGTTTTCCCTGAGTTCCCTGATGATTACTTCCAACTCTGGGGCGATCCTGACAGACACTGTCCTGGGACTTACGTGGAGTCTCCTCTTCTGTCTGGGACTGAGCATTCCAGAACTTTCTGGAGAGGGAAGCACTGACCGTGGTCTACGGTAAGAGAGAGATTCCTGGTGCGTGTGTGTATGTGTATGTGTGCATGTATGTGCATATATGTGTGTATAAGTATATGTATGTGCTATGTGTATACGTGTGAGCATGTGTATGTGTGTATGTTTGTGTTGTGAGTGTGTGTGTATGTTTGGTATATGTGTATGAGTTTGTATGTATGTGTGAGTTTGTAAGTATGTGCATATGTGAACATGTGTATATGTTTGGTGGACATGTGTGTGAGTTTGTATATGAGTGTGTGTATGTGTATCTGTGACTGTGTGTATGCGTGTGTGTGTGGCTGCTGTGTACATTCTGACCTTTGTTCCATGTGATGTACTTGGGCGTTTTTGTCCTCAGTATCCTTTGGTCTATTCTGAACCAACGGATTTCACTAAAAAAATCCTGGTTGGCAGGCACTACACTTACCTCCTAACGGCGAATGCGTCTCAACCCGCGTTAGGAAAACACTGCTCTTTGCCCTTTAGGTTCCTCCCCGTGTCTCCTGCTCAGCTCGGGATGGAGTCGCTAGTCCTCCGTCTCCTCCACTGTCCTGTCGGCCGTCAGCCGGCACTTGGCCACGGTCCCCGCGGGCGTGCGTGGGGCCTGGGGTGCAGATTAATTGAATCTGAGCCCCCAGGGGCGGGCGGCGCACAGATGGCGAGGGTTGGCTTCCTTCCGGGACTGTCCCTGGGGTTCCATCTCACCACCTCCTGGTGCCGTTTCTGCCTCGTCCTCACCGGAAGGCACTGTGTTCCCACAACTGTGTGTCATCTCAATAAATACGTTGTTGGGCGAGTTTTGCTCACCCAGAAGCGCAGCTTTTATTTCCTTGAAAGGCATAACCTGGCTGGAAGTGAGTTCCGCGTCCTCGCCTTCTCTCTCACCCACAGCTCTTCCCTATCAGTTTTGTTGCTTGTTGACTCTTTCTGAGCTCTCATCTGGGAAGCAGCCTCTCACAAACGCATAAGCTTCGAGTTGTTTCCTGGCCTCGGGGGAAGCTGTCTGAGTGCGTTAGGGATAATGACGGATACAGATCAGAAATCACGCGGTGGCTTCCTCGCAGGGGAGGAGGAGCTCCACGGGTGTTTTGAGCCCCGGAGGGCCCCTCCCGCTCGAGGGTGCTGGGACCCCTCACTGTCCCCCGCATTCTGGACGCCTGTCCCCGTTCTCCACCTGCCGTTTCTAGCACAGGACCGGCTCGGACCAGGTTCTCATGTCCTTTTGCCTGTGGACAGTGTCCAGTGTCCACCCCATGTCGCCGTCCCCTCGGCCACGGCGCTGGCCGGTCTGCGGGTGTCCGACCGCGGTGGGTGCTTGGTTACGCCACGCGGCGCAGCGAGATGCCAGCCCGACTCCCGTGTGGGCGGAGAGCTGTCTGCCGCCCCGTCCAGATGGACGCGGAGCTGGAATCATCCTAATCCGTGTTTGTGCCGCGCGCTCACCCCGCAAAGCCCTTGGATGCCAGTTATCTCCTTGATCCTCCCGGCGCCGCCGCGGTGTCTGTCAGAAGCAATAATGGAAAAGCTTCCTACGGGGCCGGGCAGGGGACACAGTCATGCAAGGGCTGTGCTTCTAGGCCAGGGGTGGGCAAACTTTTTGACTCGAGGGCCACAATGGGTTCTTAAACTGGACCGGAGGGCCGGAACAAAAGCATGGATGGAGTGTTTGTGTGAACTGATATAAATTCAAAGTAAACATCATTACATAAAAGGGTACAGTCTTTTTTTTTTTTTTAGTTTTATTCATTTCAAACGGGCCGGATCCGGCCCGCGGGCCGTAGTTTGCCCACGGCTGTTCTAGTAGCTGGGTCGTTGATGGCAACACGCGTGCCCACGGCCCCAGCTTTTCTCTGGGATCTTCAGGTTCCCGCAGC